GGAGATCCTTCCCCCAACAAGGTGGAATGTGAGGACTGACATGCAAACTTGTCCTCTGATCTCCATACCCGTGCTGTGGAATGCATAATCCACCACTCACACACATATTCAAGCACACATATTACACATACATTCACATACATATGCACACACAAACATACACAAATGTGGAAAAGTGGGAGCTTCTTACTCACTGACCAGGATCTAAGCCCATTTCCTTTAAACAGCAACATGGGCAAAACTTTTAGTGTCCAAAGTTACCATGGTCAGGAATTTCAAATAAGAATGATAACTATGGGTACTAGTTTCTCCCTTCTGTCCTCAAAAGAGTAATAGACTCTCAGCCATGTTCTTGGGTTTGAACTGGAGTTCTCCTGCACCCCAGCTATGTGACTTTGAACCAGTACCCTAACATCTCTGAGCTCTGCTAAAACCAGCTGCCTCACAATATAGTTTTTATTGTTTTGTTTTGTTTTTGGTGTTTTTTGAGACAGGTCTCCCTGTATCCTCAGCTGGCCTGGAAAATAGTCAACTTACGGAGGGGAAGAAGCTGCTATGGTTTTGGAAGTCTGGGAGGTAGGTTGTAAGAGGCAGTCTAATGTATTTGGCCTCACCTGTCCCAAACTGATGTACATACAAAAGATATGGGGTGGGGGTAGGGGTGGGGGGCTGGAGAGATGGCTCAGCAGTTAAGAGCATTGTCTGTTCTTCCAGGTTTGAATCCTAGAACCCACATGGTGACTAACAACCATCTGTAACACCTCTAGGGAATCCAACACCCTCTCTGTCCTCCGAGGGCATTGCACGACATGGTGCACTTACACACATGCAGACATAACACTCATACACATAAAATATCAGGCAAATACCAGGGTTTGCAACACACTGAGGCTGTAGTAGTGGCCTGCCAGGTCTCCGAGATGCCAGTCTACTTTGTAGAACAGGAAGCGCCCCCCCCCCTGCATGGGGAGGGGCAACAATTTCCTCACCACCCTTTTAGCAGCAGTAGTACAAAATCTTATTGGACAAATGGATGCTTGGGAGGTCTGTTCTCCAACCTTGCAGGTGTGGACTCTGAAGTCCAGGGACATGATGGTACTAGGATGGAGTTAAAGCCAAAGCCACCTGCCTCTACAGGCTTTTTTCATCATCATCATCATCATCATCATCATTTGTGTTTTTGAGACAGGGTCTCCCTGTAGCCCCAGCTGGCCTGGAACTCACTATGTAAACCAGGTATCCTTGAACTCACAGAGATCTGCCTACATCTGCCTGCCTGAGTGCATCATGACTGGCTTTTTTTTTTTTTTTTTAAATACAGGGTTTCCCTGTAGTTCCAGCTGGCCTGGCACTTACTATGTTGACCAGACTAACCTTAATCTCACAGAGGTCCTCCTGACTCTGCCACCTGAGTGCTGGGATTAAAGATGTGCACCACCATGCCCAGCAATCTCCACTGGAGTCTTTACCAGTGTTTTGTGCAAGAGAATTCAGAATACAGTAGAAGGGACATCAGGCTGTTCTGGAACGTACTAGCCTAAGGCCAGTCCTTCTTTTGACTGAGGCCTCAGACTGGGGGAGGGAAGTACCCAAAGTAGCTTCCCCTTATGCCTACCCTACTGGATTCCAGAGCCAAAGCTATGGCTCAGCCAGACAGACTCCAGGAGGGAAGCTTTGATGTTAGTAGTTCAAGGTCGCCTTTCTGGCCCTGCTCCATCTGGCAAGCTGATTGTGAAGCCAGAGTAGGAGCTACGACAGAGGGCAGAAAGATTGCTCCGATTTTGAGTGAACTTGTATAATTGGGAAAGCCAGTGCTGGTTTGTTAGATTTTTGTTTTGCTTTGTTTTGAGACAGGGACTCCCTGTAGCCCCAACTGGCCTGGAACTCATTATATAGACCAGGCTGACCTTGAAGTCCTGGAGATCCCCCTGCCTCTGCCTCCCCAGTGCTGGGATTAACCAACTACACCATCATGTCCAGCTGGGTTTTACGTCAAGAAAATGGGCAAAGTGATGGATTTGTGTTGTGTGTGGCAGGTTGTGCACCCCGCCCCCCACGTAAACAGGCAAAATAGGAGCTGTGGGTTGAGCATAGGACTGGGTGGCTGATGGAGCCTTTGCCTAGTGCACAGGAGGCCTGGGTTCTGGGCTAGGGCTGCATAGCTACCTGTCTAGAATGTAATCATCTTGGGCAGTGGTGGGGTGATAGACAGTACTTGCACCCCAAACCTGCTACATACATAATTTCACACAAGTCTCCTGTCAGACCTCTTAGGGTTACATCCCATTGGCACAGGGCTTAGATTCTGATTATGTTAAGAGACTTTGGGGATTAGAAGTATGACCTAGTAAGGAGCAGAAAAGGGATTTCAACCTTTTGTTTTGTTTTTGAGACCTTGTCTTAGGTAGCTCAGGCTGGCCTTGAATTTGGTATGTAACCAAGAATGACCTTGATCTCCTGATCCTCCTACTTCCACCTCCTAGGTGCTGGTATAAGTGGGGTGCTCCACTGCACTCCAAGTTTGGGATTTCAACTCTGGATCCTGCCTAGTCCACCCGACCAGATGGATCTGGGAGCTAGCTCGAGATGCTGTTCTTGGTTCAAAAACTCAGAACTTGCCAATGGGCATGAGAAATTCACTTGGGGGGTGGGAGGTCAGCCAGCTGAACTCGAGGAACGCAGGGGTTTAAGGCGGTGTGTCAGCCACTCACATCCTGATGTAAGTGGGGTGTCATGGAGCTCCCGAAGGCCCCAACTGGGTCTCACCATCTGCTGCTGCATCAGAGCTGGGCTGCAGCTTCCAGAAAGCGCGGGCTCGGTGCTGGGGTGTCTGGGCTTTGGAACAGGCCCAAGAGGTGTCGGGCAGACACTGGCCCCGGCCCTGGACCCGCCTCCTCCGGGTGAGGCCCAATGGGGCGGCGGACCCGGCAGCTCCGCCCCGGTTGGGTCCAGGCTGCCCCGGCCAGCCGAGCCCTGGTGCAGCGGTGCTCGGACCTCGCGTGCTCAGGATGGCGGGCTACTTGAGGGCTGTGCGCTCGCTTCGCAGAGCCCGGTGCTCCGCGCCTGCTTGGGCGCCGGCCGCCCTCACAGTCCCCAGCTTGCCGGAGCAGCCGCGGCGCCACTGTGAGTGCTGCACCGGGGACAGGGCGGGCGCGCGCGCAGCGCCGCGACGTGGCGACTTCCCGGGCGGGGGACACCGGGAGCACGACTTGCTACACGCTTGGTGGCCCCTGCATGGCGGGATCCCGTTCACAAAGGGCCGGGCGGTGGCCTCGCTCCCGGCTCCCGCGCCTGAGAGTTCCAGCTGCCGCGAGCGCGGGGGTGGGGACTTGGGGGAAGGTGGCAACTGGTGGCCTGGGGCGCGATCGCAGGGTTCTGCCAGCACAGGGCTCCCCAGGTATTCCGGGGGGGGAGGGGTTCTGGGGGTGCCTGGACTCAGAGGGTATCCTGCCCTCCCTGTGCCCTTGGAGGAGACAAGTGACCTGGAGGGGCTGGAGGCCCAGCTGCTGCCCCAGCGCGGGAGGGTCCCCGCGCGGTCCCTGCTCAGACAAAGACTGCTTGGAGAGGCCTTCTTTTCCCTTTGCTCCCATCCCGCCACCCTCTGATCCTTCTCGCCAGCCAGCCCACATCAGCTATTTCTGGAGCCTTTACTCGACAGCTGGAGGAGTGCCCTTTTATTCCACCCTTTTGTTTAGCTGCCACCTCCCCACCCTTCGCCTTGAAACTCCATTCTGGGCCTTTTCCTTGGCTGCAAGCTATGCTGTGCTGGTGAGTGGGTCCTGCCTGGCACACAGGCTGTGGAGACCTAGCAGTGTGCTCACGTTGTCATTTTCTGCAGTCAGTCGGTCCCATGGCGTTTGCCTTGCCTTCAGCTCCCTTCTTAGGCCTGAAAAAGCTATTCAGGGCTAAATAAATGGGAATTGGCCAGAGTCTCTATTACCAACACTACCTGACCAGTCTGACATGTGGGCATTGGTCTGCCCTTCACTCTGGCTGCTCAACGCCCTGCTATAGCAGACAGGGAACAATGGAGAGAGCTCTTGGCTCTTTCAGATGCCTGTTGCCACGGAAATTCTATCTTGACCTGGCCCAAAGCCCCTTGGCCTCAGCCAGGAGAATGAAGAGGGGGGGGGGACCCGGCTCTGTGCTTGTCCTGGCTAGAGTGGTAATCTTTAACTGAGTATGGGAGCAACTGACCAGAACTGGGGGCAAGGAGGAGGGAGAGGGCTTGGGCCCCTGACCCTCCTGTCAGCCAAGGAGAAAGGAATCTGTTTCCTGAAACCCCTTCAAGTGCCTACAGCCTCAAAGATTTCCATATGGTGTATATGCAGCAAAATATGGTAAAAGTTAAAGGCATTTTCCAATCCTCTTTTTTTTAAAAAATCTGCATTATCTGGTTTAAAAAAAGAACACAAAACAACAACCAACCAACCAACCAAAACCCCACATTAACAAGAAAATAAAATTTCTTAGGGATCCTGAATTTAGATACATATTTTAAAAATAGCCAGTCCAAAAGCCCCCAAGTGGGGTGGTTGTTAGTGGGGAAATGCCTGTGTTTGAATTGGTCATCAGACTGTACAGCTGAGAGCCCTCCAGCTCATTACCTGGCAACACTGCTGGAGACCGAATACTCAGCCTTCCCCTTGATGACAAAGAAAAAAAATTTTTTTGGCTAAAAAACACTCGGGTCTTTGCTTCCCCATAGTTCCACTTGTGTCTCTTTCTAAGTGCAGCCTCCAGTGCCTACTACTGGCAGTGTCTGATAAGCCAAAGCTTGGGAAGTTGTTTATGGGCTTTGAGCCCCATGATGGGACAAGTACCTAGCTTTCCTTTATTCTATTTCTAGCTGAAACTTTGTTATTTTCTCACCTTAACTTTTTAGATCTTCTTGGTGGCTAGACCCAGAGAGTGTCCTGCCCACACTGTGCCCTTGGAAGAGAGAAGTGTCCCAGAGAGGGGCTCAGATCCCAGAATAAATTATTCAATTACTGATCATCAAGTTGGATTTTTAAAAATTTTTTATTTTTTTGTCTGAGACAAAATCTCCTTGTAGCCCAACTAGCCTGGAACTCCCTATGTAGACCAGGCTGGCCTTGAACTCACAAAGATCTGCCTGCCTCTGCTTATCAAGTGCTGGGATTAAGGGCGTGTGCCACCACACCTGGCCAAGTTGTTTTTTAAGGATTAGAAAAAGTGTACGAGTGTTTTGCCTGTATGTATGTGCACCACATGTGTGCAGTGCCTATGGATACCAGAAGAGGGTGTCAGAACCCCTGGAACTGGAGTTATAGGCTGTGATAAGCCACCATGTGAGTACTGGGAACTGAACTCAGGTCCTCTGCAAGAGCAGTAAGTGCTCCTAACCACTGAGCCATCTCTTCAGCCCTTTATCGAGTGTTTTTTTTTTTTTAAATTTATTTTAAGAGAGCGAGAGAAAGAGAGATTGATTGGTGGTGCATATGCATGGGTCAGAGAGAGCAACTTTGTGGAGCTGGCTTTTTCCTTCCTTGAACTCAGGTCTTCAGGTTTTCACCTCTACCCACCATCTCACAGGCCCCTCAACAAGTTTTACAGACCCCCTGTAGAGATCCTGTCTGTTCCCTGTTTGTCCTTGTTTCAACCACTTTAGATAAGACTTCAGCTATCCCATCTCCAGCACTGCTTCCCCACAGGACTGGTTTGGGTGCTTGTGTTTGGTTCAGTAGGTACTGAAGAGAATTTTTATTTTATTTTATTTTTTTATCTTTTTGAGACAGAGTCTCCCTGTAGCCCCAGCTGGCCTGGAACTCACTATGTAGACCAGGCTGGCCTTGAGCTCTCAGAGATCCACCTGCCCCTGCCTCCCCAGTGCTGGGACTAAAGGTGCACACCACCATGCTTGGCCTGGAGAGAAATCTTTCTAGAAAGGCTTGGCTGCCTCTAAGCCCTCCATCTTTAGTTCAGGCCTCTTGGGCTGAGTCAGTTCAGGATGGGAGGTGCTTGGAACAGCCCTGCTATTAGAAGCCAGGATCTGTCGTTTACTTTGGGGTTTATACTGTGTAAACGTGTTAAAAACACCAGCAGATGGTAATTTTTTATTACTTTTTTTCCTCTCCATACTGGGGGCTGAACCCAGGACCTCACACATGGTGTGCAAGTGCTAAACCATTAGACTTGCAGCCACCAATGTTTCTTTTAACTTTATTTTGAGACAAAGTCTCACTAAGTTGCTTTAAAACATGTGATTCTCAGGCTGGAGAGATGGCTCAGCCATTAAGAATACTGACTGTTCTTGCAGAAGACCCGGGTTTAAATACCACTACCCACATGGCAGCTAACAACTGTTTGTAACTCATTCCAGGGAATCTGATCGTCTCCTCTGTTCTCAGAGGGCATTGTACAACACAGGTGCACTTACCTACATGCAGGCAATACACAAGTACACATAAAATAAAAATAATAAATAAAATATTTTAAAAAAAAACAACCTTGTGATCCTCCTGCCTCCACCTTCTGAGTAGCTCGGGTTGTACATGTGTACCACCATACTTATGTGCAATTTTCTTTCCCCTAGTGCTAGAGATCTAACCCAGGTATTCACAGATGCTAGCCAAATCCTCTATCACTTAGCCAAATTTCCAGTCCAGAATACAAATATTAATCTACTCTGGGAGGTGCCCATCTAATGCCAGAATTCCCAGGCTTCTGTTGGCAATGGGTCTGGGTGGTGGGAGGGGAGAGACACATTCATCAAAACAGGAAGTGAGAGAAAGCAGGGCTTCCCTGATGTAACCTTGGCTTTCATTTATACCTTTAGCATATTGTATTTCTTTTTGGGCCCAATACCATGCAAGGTGCAGAGGACAGAGCTGGGAATAAGAGTAAGGAAGAGTTCTGTCCTTTGGAACTTTAATTCTAACATAGGAAGGGATAGGCACTTAACAAGGTTCTTGACTAGTGTGATAAATGGTCATGAGCTGAAGAGAAGGTCCAGAAAGATGGCTGAGCAGGCAAAGGCACTTCCTGCTAAGCCTGACCACCTGAGTTTGATCCTTGGGACCTATATGGTAGAAGGAGAGAACAGACTCTCCCGCAAGTTGTTCTCTAACTTGCACAGGTGCTTTGTGGTGCCCCCCCCCCACTCATGCACACACGTGTACTCAGTCTCATGTATCCCAGGCTGGCCTCAAACTTCTAGTGTTGCTGAGGATGGACTTGAATGTGTGATGCCCCTGCTTCTATCCTCCCAAACGCTGGGATTGCAGATGTTGGGCATTCTAGGAAAGCACTTTACCAACTGAGTTACACTCCCCTCTTCTCCTTTTGTGGTATTGGGGATCAAACAAGGGCCTTGTACATTCAAGCCATGTGCCTTATCCTTGGGCTGTACCCCCAGCTTGTAGACCATTTTGGGGGACTTTGGTCTTTATTCTGAGTGAAAAAGATTATGCAGGAGTTCAAGAGGTATACCATGATCACATTTATGTTTTTATCTTTTGTGTATGCTAGAAGAGGGGATCAGATACCCTGGAGCTGGATTCCAGGTGTTCCTGAGCTGCCATGTGGGGACTGAACTCGGGTCCTCTGGAAGAGCAAGTGCTCTTAGCTGCTGAGCCATCTCTCTCTTTTTTTTTTTTTAATTTTTTCTTTTTTTTGGTCTTTTTGAGACAGGGTCTCCCTGTAGCTCCAGCTGTCCTGGAACTCACTATGTAGACCAGGCTGGACTTGAACTCACAGAGATCTGCCTACCTCTGCCTCCCTAGTGCTGGGATTAAAGGCATGTGCCACCACGCCCAGCCCTATATATATTTTTTTGTTTGTTTGTTTGTTTTTATGGGGCCCTCTTCTGACCTCTGTGGCCATTGCATGACACAAGTGCACTCATATACATGCAGGCAATATACTCATACATGTAAAAAATATTTTTTTAAGAAAAGATTTATTTTTATTTATATGTATGTGTATTTGTGTATATGCCACATTTGTGTGGGTGCCTGTGGCCAAAAGAGGGCATTGGATCCCCTGGAGCTGGAGTTATAGTTGATTGTAAGTTGCCGGATGGGTGTTGGGAACTGAACTTGGATACTCTGGAAGCAAGCCCTCTTACTTCTGAGCCATCTCTCCAGTCACATGTTTATATT